CAAATCTGAGCTATTCCAACCAAACCACACATGTAGACAATGAACTCTATGGTGATTGAAATATTGCTCAATTTCCAGTTTTGGCATCTCCATCTTATCAATTCTTCATTTCCTATCCTCCCCCTTCCACTGAGTGTGGATGTGGGGTTGGCAAATGAAGTGATGAATTACATATTAAGAAACAAAAGGCAATGATCTCAGCAAACAATCATCAATACTTAGTATGCCAGACACATCCATGATCCATCTACAAAGAAATTTTCATTCCACGCTATCTTTACTGACAATGATAACCAGGTATTGTTTCTGCTTTGCACAAGTCATCAAGAAAACTCGGGGGCTAGACAAATACTTGTATATTTGTTGAATTATACATTTATACTGTAATATACACTTCCACTAAGAGGTATAGGACTTAAAGATTACATCCTACCCAGATGCTACTAGTCACCCTACTTTCAAATTTAGACACCGCTCAAACACATTGCCAAATAGGTGTAGGATGCATATTTAGAACAACAAGTTAAACCAAACAGATAAAAGAAGGATGATCACTTATGTTCATACTTAAACTTTTGATGTGCTACCAGAGACAGCCAAGTTGCTACCTAAGCATATATTTACATAGAACCTCCATCATCTATTCAATATGATGGTCTTAGCTACTAAAATGGAAATGTTCTTTCTTCCTCACCAGAGTAATGTCAGAGTCAAAGTTTTCTAATGTCGTTAAGAAAATAATACAATCTCAGGCTTAATATGTTACAACTTTCACAATTCAAATTTTCTTCCCATGAAGATCTCTCATAGATCACCAAAGGGTCTTTGGCCTAGCGGTATGTGAGTCCTTGGTCTTCCAAGAGGTCAAGGGTTCAAACCTCACCAAAGGTGAGGAGGGTGTGTGAGTTTATTTGTTCTATTTGCCGTATATAAACATTATATACTTCAAAAAAAAAAATATCTTTCATAGATCATAGGAGAACTTCAACTCTAACGTGTATGTGTGTGTATATCTATATCCAAAAAGGATACATAGTTCTCAAGTTTCCTCATTATCATTTTATAAAAATATTACGAATTGCCAACTTATCCCAAAACAACTATGTGCCTGAATTTGAGATAAAAAACTATTTGTCAGTTATGAGAAAAGATATAGTGTAAGCATGGATCTACTATAAATACAAATCACAAAGTTGCAATACTATGAAGTAGCCTACATTCTTTTTTGCTTAAGAACTCTCATTGCTCGAGCCTTCACAGCTTCTTGAGCAGGACCAGGTCTGGTTTTCTTGATCTGTTCTTTATATCGAGCAAGTTCCCCATCGAGCCGTTTGATCTTCTCATCCACTGTTTCACCTCTTTTATTGATCTAAAGCACGTTATACAAAATTAATCAGGCATCCATTTCTATAATGATTCTATAATAATTAAAGCAAAAAAAAGTAATACTTGTCTATAAAAGAATAAGATCTTGAGAGTGTTAATGAATCAGCAATAAGAGAACTGCAGAACTTTTCAGATATACAACTAAATAAGAAGCTCCCAACGTAGATAATCCGTCAAATCTAGTTATGAACTTGTTTGATCATCACTAAAGGTGGATGTCAAATAATAGTTACATCAAGGAACATCATTTGACCGCTAACATAACATCAGTAAATTTCTTGATGAATCATCACAGATACAAAGCTTTGGCTTCATGGTATTGGAGTGAGAGAGGTAGAGGGGACGAGTTTCGTTTATAGATAATCGAATATCTTGTTACAGTCTCTCCATTTACTTGGTGGGCACTTCCTGAACACACTGATCTTTTGTTTCCAGTAAATCTGTTATGCACTTTGAAAGTTGGAGCCATTCATTAAATACATTGTTGTTTCCCACTTATGTCGACTCACTTTGAAAATGATAAACCTTCTTGGAAGATGATGCTTTGGAATGCCTCCGACAAGGCAAACCCATGACACTCATCTCGTTAGGCACTTCAAGTTGATTTTGAAACAACAACCAGAAAAATGAGAAGGAAATGTAAGAACTGAAGAAGGTCTCCTATGCATAGCTGTTCACAGCATCATATATGCTAGAAGTGTTCCCAACACAATATAGCCTATGAAGTTGGAAGGGTAAGTCGATTCTTATTGGGAAAGAATGTTGGGCATTAATAACTGGATTCTAAAATACATCCGAAACTCCAGTTATTCATTTATTTAACAATAATTTCGAGAATCCAGTTATCATGTCTCTTCCTTCTTATTTTTGCTTATTTCTCTTCTTAATCGTGCAAAAGAGGAAAAAAGAGGTTTCCTCAACACATGTAGGAACATTATCTCCTTAAGGTTACGAGTACAGCTGAGAATCTTTGTCACATAAAATCTGACCACTGAATGGAGCTTTAGAAGGAAATCCAGCAATTGGAGGCCATAAAAAGAGTAGAAGAACGGGTGAGGCTCCTCGAGAAGTAGAGGATACAGTTAGGAAACTGGGATTGTTTTTAACTTTCCCATCGCCATAGAGAAGGTTTTCAGCTCTAAACCAAATCAGATTTGTATTATTCAATTGTAAGATTGCAATTTCCTGGTAACAGTCAGCTTTAATACACAGGAATTTAGTCATGGTATTTTCAGATTTAGCTACAAATATTTCATTTCGCAACAAAATTGTAATGCAATCAATTAAAAACGTGACTATCCAAAAAGAAAGGGAAAAATAACAGACAAAAAGACCTTTATTGACTCATGTATATTTGTAAGTTTGTGTAACAAGACATATGTATTGAGACATCTGCAGAGGGGAGCTACTCTAAATCTTAAGGGATAATCACCATTGGTTCACCCATAAGCTGATTGTACACAAATAAATAATTTTAAAAGGAAAAAAAATTAGCTTCAAATTCAATCAATTCATACTATGATTCATTCCCATGTATGAGGACCACCACTATTACGCAACATAGCATGTCAATTGTGTTGGTGATTTTAGTGTCACCGGTTACATTTAGTGTAATGGATTTTATACGTGTGTTTCAAAGGGATTGAACTTTGTTCTAAAACAAGTATGGAGAGTGTGGAGTGCAACGCCCCCTGAACGCAAAACAGGGTTTATAATGGAAAATTCTTGATTTTTCTGTGGTATGATTGTGAATCCTATAACTTGGTAACTCCCGTTTTCAGTTTTGAGTTTTTGAATTTCGGATGATCGTTTTTGGGAAACATACGAACTTTTGAAGACACTCTATATTTTCTCTAGTTTTGATCTTGATTTCTGCCAAAAATCAAGATTGTTGCTTTTACAATTATCCCAATTCGGAGTTCGTGATACCAGGCATATACGGTCGAAATATCGAATTTGGAAAGTGATTCACACGATTGTAGAAGAAATCCGGTTAGATTTCAACAAATTGCATATAATATGGGTTTAATGAGTTTGCATATAAGAAACTTTACTGCGGATTTAGGATTTTTGAGTCGTCTTCCAACCCTAGCTAGTTACTGGTTAGAATTCCCATACTTGAATCAATAAACAACTTGACATCCAAATTGAAGTCTTAATTAGTAAAGAAAACAATTCGTAGGCAATGAAATAGAATAGTGGACACAATTTGTAATCATCACAAGAACCCAGTATACAACGAACACTGATCAAATTAAATACACCGATGATATGGAATACAACGAATGAAAGAAACGAGAGGGAAAGAGTACCCGATCAGAAGCATCATTAATGGAAGGAGGCGGTTCTTTGTCTTTCTTAACGCCGAACACTCTCCTCATCGCTCTTACTTTGTTGCTGATTTTAGGGTTTGTTTTGGATTTTAAACCCCTAATTCGATAGATGTAGATAATCAACAAGAAGGAATTAAGTCAACGAGATACCTTGCGCCCACTGATCCTTCGGTTGTTGAGGTGTTCCCCGAGAAATATCAATGAAGGTGAAGAAGGTCCTCCTTTTGATATCGTCAATCTATCTGGTAAGAGTAAATTGCAAAAAGAGTCCCTATACTATTATGTAATTACAAAATCAGTCCAGTAATTATTTTATTTTACAATAATGAATGGAAAACTTTTATCTGTTAAGACCCTCTTAGTTTACAATATATATGACCACATAATTTCCTTTGATGTAAAATATTTGGAAAAACAAACCAAGTGTTAAATAAAATAATTGAAGAGGGGAGGGGGGAGGGGGTTATTCGTGGTTTTAGGCATGCACGCCAGCCAATGGTTTTCGTGGCGTACTTCATTATAATAGTAAATTAGTGTTTGATATCGTGCGTTGTACAATTATAATAAAAATTTTAAAAATTTATTGAAGTTAACTAAATAAGTCGATGATTACATTTATATATTAAACTAATAAGAATCAATATTATCTTTAATATATGAATCTAACTTATATATCAATCTTTTATTATATCAAACTTTGTAATTGATTTAAAATCATAAAAAAAAATATGTGAAAATATTGATTATAATCATGAGGTGTATTAAGAGAATTATTTTATCATAATACATATCAATTTATCTTCTACATATATTCTCATAAAATATTTATATTCACCAAGCAAATATTGTGTTGTTACTTACATTGATATAATTATTGAATATTTTTGCAATTTGCTTATATTAATTCATGATATACTCATTTGCAACATTGATAAAAAAAACTTTATTGAAACCCCTTTTTTTCTACATGTAATTGCATAAAGTGACAGTAATAGCTAGTATTATGATCATTCTATATATATAAGAGTCTGATTGATTTGTTATTTTTTCATTTGACTTATTCAAGCTTTTTAGATTTGTTTTGGACAGTTCATATGTTGGTTTCTCTATAAAAAAAATCATGAAAATAGAGGTTTTAATAAAATTGTGTAAAATAAAAGATATATATTATATTGATTTCATCGTTAATTATATGTAGAGTTTGATTTTAGCTTAAATAACAAATTGATTTATATATATATATAAACTATAATTTGTCTCTGTCTTTTATATGTATTACTG